CTGGCTGGGGTGTCCCTGCAGGAGACATAGGCATCCCCTTGAAGCCCCGGGTCTGCATGTCCATGGGGGAGTGGCCACTCACCCTCCCAGCCCTGTCCTGCCCGCCAGTGTGCGTGGGTCTCCGTTGCTGCAGGGTGTTGACCTGTCTGGGGCCTCTCACTCTTGATCTCCTTCCAGTCTCCCTGCCTCCAGCATTTCTGCTGACCTCCCTCTTAGTGGACCCTGCGTCCCCTTCTCCCATGCTGGCACGTGTCTGTCCTCTGTGGGAGTATCTTCTTGCATCCCCGCGTTGTCCCCAGCAGCACGTGGCGGGTATTGGTGGGTGGGTGATGATAACGGGCGCCTGACTGGTGCGCCCGCTGTGTGAGGACCGTGCCGCCCACCAGGGGCTGGCAGTATCTCAGAACCCTGTTTCTCCGCCCTCCTGAGCTTGATGGGATGCCCACTGCCCCCACTGCCACCTAGTCATCCCTGAGGACAGAGTTGAGCTGCCCCGTGCGGCCTCCAGGGAGCGGGTGACCACGTTTTCCTCCCACGGAGCGGCTGGTGCGTTTACGCGTGCCTTTCCCACTGGCCGGCACTTAAGCCATGGTGCCACCAGGCTCCTTCTTTATGGGGAGAGGGGTCCACATCTCGGACACAGAGACAGTGTCGTGCTGCCTCCCTGTCCTCTAAGAGGTAGTGGGGCCCGGGGTGCCGTGGTCCTGTCCCTACCACCAGGCGTGTGGCTTGGGACACAGCAGTGACCAGCTCTGAACGCTCCCTGCTGCTCCTGCTGCAGGACTTCAAGCAGTGAACTGTGAGAGGGTACGCTCCCCCCCACCCCCCGGGGCCCTACCCACCTTCCAAGGATGCCCGGCCTTCTCCATCATCAATCCCAGGGCACCACCCGAGTTGCACCCTGTGATGCCCTTGCCAGAGAATATTGCACAGGCCGTGGGCTGAAGGGCAGAGACATCTGCCGGGGAAGCAGTGCAGCCAGCACTCTTAGAAGAGAGGCTGGCGCA